TTGCCACTTCATAGTCTATTACAACCATTTATGGATATTAACTAGACTTTATTGGAATACACTAGCAACTTGAATTCTGTTTTAACAAGTCTTTCTATTTTTGAATTTTTATGAGCTACATTTATACTAAAGAATGCCTGGCAAACTGATTTTAATATCAGTATAATTTTTAATCAATTCTTCAGTATACGTTTCCTAACCTTCCAACAGGCTTCTAACACTAGAAAAAAAATCTAGAAATAAATAAATATCTCACCTATTCAGGAATATGAATGAGGACTAATTATCCTGTAAATGCACAGTCTGATGGGGTAGAAAAAAAGTTTTTGTCATTTTAAAAAAAAGTTTGGTTCATTTGTTTTTCACAATTCAGTGCGAAGATCAAAAAGACACTTAACTATGACTTCTCTCTCACTTTATTGTTTTTGGCATCACATCCAGGTTTAAGCCAATTTTCAAAAAATTAATTAAGCCACGTATCCAAATATAAAATCTTAAAATGCTGTCTAGTGAGTCAACAATCACAGAGATTCAGTTTGTTGCACAAGTGCATAACTGTTATATTAACATCTGGCTTTAATAAGAGTAATCTGAACACTATTTAATAAATTCTGTAATGTGCATTTGCTTTGGAGATTCAGGACATGGAAGATTTTTGTGGTGGTGGTTTAGACAGAGCCTCAGCAGAACTGAAGAGTAGTTTTACAGCAGCTGTCAATCTTTACCACAGAAAAAATGTTTTTAAAAGTTTTATTCCACAACGAAAATGAAATAATTTTCTGTTTTCCTTTAGGCTCTTGGACTTCAGATGATGAAAAAAGCTTAAGAAACAATGCCAGGAAGACTGGTTCACTGTGCTCACCAGAGCACGGAATAATTTCATTTAAAGATGCAAACATGGAACGTTCATGGTTGCCAAGTGCAAATAGGCTTAATTTCAGTTGTTGATCTGTTTTTTCGACATGCTGCTAAAGAAGCAGCAGATACATTCATAGAAAGAAACAAAGGTTGCAGATTTATTAAACCAAGATAGGAACAGAACTGGCTTTGCCAAATCTAACCAAATCTGCTATTCATCCAGTAGCCTAAATGCAACCCTAAAACACACCTTATCTTCAGGTTAAAAGTAGCCCCTCCACCTTTAAGTGTTTGCAGTTACTAATTTTCTGCCTAACACTACCGTTCAGGGGCTGTTTTACAACAATCTGAACTGACTGTAGTTGAAGCTGCTACTTTCCCACCTTCCCTAGTACTCCTAAGCCACCATTTTGTCTCTACCTGTTAGGGATGGTACTGGCACTCATATCGCACAGTTCAGACGTCTAGACTTGCAAAAACTGTTTTATTTTTCAGAAATAGGGTTTAATCTTCTGCCAGATCAGCTCCCTTAACCTCTACGTTGGTCTCACTGCATGGAGCAGAGATCAAAGAGTACGGAGCTAGACAACAGTTCAATTATATATGAGCACAATTCCCATTGCTTTCAAATGAATGGTTTAACAGACTATGCCTATGTATCACCTAGAACTGTGCTTTGGTCATCATATGAGAGTTGAATAATTCATCTAGCATGCATTACTATCAACAAACACAGAATAAGAAGTGGTATGAGTACAGAATTGGGAAGATTTTTCATATTAATCTATAATAAAAAGGTAAATAGAAAGAGATAGTAAGCTACCAATTTAGCTAGTGTATTCTACTTAAATATTCCAGAAGTATAACTATAATTTCATTATGGTATCTTCCTGTTTGTTAGGAACATCATTTACTCATTTTGTAATGCTACATTTGCCTTTTACACTACACTCTTAAATTTAAGTGTTTAAAAGTCTTTTTGAATGATACTGATACGACAACAACTGAAATACTATTTTCAGTTAAATTTTATTAGTTGCTACTTCTTCATTTCCTAATGATTTTAGTCAGAGAGGAATCCTTAGCATCAAATAGGATTGGTCCCTCTCTGAGAACTAGTGATAAATGTTAACAGTTCAATCTTCCACAATTTTTCTTCTTCCAAGTACGTACAGTTGAATGATTTCATCTCCTGTTTCCTCCTCCAGTTTATGCAGATTCTAATCTTGTCCATCTCTGGTAACTATTTAATAGATTCTCTTTTCACTGACATTCACCTACCCTGGATATGAAAGTCTTACTGGAAAAATCCTATTACTGTTTAAATACAGTAATAAATAATTTTGTTGGGGCTTATTTTGAACTCTAAGATGGATGACTTACAGTTTTGCAAAGCTGAATTTGTTCCAAGGACAGTGGAAATAATAAAGTTTAGTTTCCTATAAGTTCATGTTCTTTGTCCTCTAAATGTTTATCCATTCCCACTGTAACTCCTGTTTCCCAGCTGTGTCTCTTGCCATCTTCACTACGCAAAAAACACGGCTAGTCCAGAGCAAACACATTTTGGCCAGCCAGCCAGCTGCTGGTAAACAGAACAAGTGACAGCTGACTTCTATCTGCCTTTGCCTGACAAGGTCCTGATGGGGATTTTCTCTACTAAACTTCAACCTTGTGAAAACTGTTAGGAAGTTAATTATGTTTGAGATATTTCTCTCTGAAATTTGACTGAAGCTAGTCAAATAACATAAAAATGAGCAGGGAAAGAAACTTACAGGCAAGGAGAGAGATAGACAGGCCAACCCAATTCTTTAGAGAACCAGCTAGAAGCTAAACAACTCACATCTTGTGTGTTCTTCAATCAAAGGAACAGGCTTTCAATAGACTTTCACAAGTAATTAAATGTAGCATAAAGAAATGATATGATGAATATCTCTAAGTGGATCACTGTGAGCATTCACTGCATTTTATGACAACAGAAGATATCTGAGTCTATGAAGCGTTTGATAATATTAGAAGTCAAAAAAGTCAAAGTTATCAATCAGTGAATATCATACTTGACTATCCATACAACAAGTAAGTTTGCATGAAGGCTGAACACTACACTCCAAGAGCTACGCTTATAAATTCTTGATAAAAAATTGAAATTGTCTTTGCTTTGCTTAGTTTTTCCTGTACTTAACGTTTCTCTTCACTGTAACTCACCTCTAGGACTCTCAGGGGGAGAGGCTAACACACCAGAAGACTGTGCTGCCATTCAGAGGGACCTGGACAGGCTGGAGAGGTGGGCAGAGAGGAGCCTCCTGAAGTTCAACAAAGGCAACTGCAGGGTCCTGCACCTGGGGAGGAAGAACCCCAGGCACCAGGACAGGCTGGGGGTTGACCTGCTGGAAAGCAGCTCTGCACCTGGGAGTCCTGGTGGACAACAAGTTGACCATGAGCCAGCAGTGTGCCCTTGTGGCCAAGAAGGCCAATGGTCTCCTGGGCTGCATTAGGCAGAGTGATGCCAGCAGGTGGAGGGAGGTGATCCTGCCCCTCTCCTCAGCCCTGGGGAGGCCACATCTGGAGTACTGTGTCCAGTTCTGGGCTCCCCAGTACAAGAGAGACATGGCACTCCTGGAGAGAGTCCAGCGGAGGGCTACCAAGATGATTAGAGGACTAGAGCACCTCTCCTAGGAAGAAAGACTGCAAGAGCTGGGCCTGTTCAGCCTGGAGAAGAGAGGGAATCTCATCAACGTGTACAAGTATCTGAAGAGGGGGTGTCAAGAGGATGAGGCCAGCCTCTTCTCTGTGGTGCCCAGCGATAGGACAAGAAGCAACGGGCAGAAACTGAACCACAGGAAGTCCCATGTGAACATGAGGAAAAACCTCTTCACTGTGAGGGTGACAGAGCATTGGAACAGGTTGCCCAGAGAGGTAGTGGAGTCTCCTTCCCTGGAGAGATTCAAAACCCGTCTGGATGTGATCCTGGGCAATATGCTCTAGGTGACCCTGCTTGAGCAGGGGGGTTGGGCTAGATGATCTCCAGAGGTCCCTGCCAACCTCAACCATTCTGTGATTCTGTGACTTGGGCTATTCCAGTGGTAGATTCTGCTGTGGTTTAGGCTGTAAGTAGATTTACTGGAACACACCAACATTTCAGATTAATAGCACTGTCTATGCATATCCAGAAGGTCTTGTACTTCTGCTGTTCTTCCAGTTTCTTGAGCAGCTCTTAGTCATGTAAGTTGTGTCTGGCTTTTTCCAGTAGAGGTGGAACCTATGCTCTGTTTCATGTTATGGGGTCTCAGTAAAAAATAATCAAGCAAGCTTTAAATTCAGTGCTCCCTTTTGGTTACTCCAAAAGCAAAACAAAAAAACTGACACCCACCAACAAACCCTTTCTTTTTCTGCACACAAGACTGGGTGGGAGGAGCGTTCAGAATTTTCACCATTTCTGTACCAATTCAGCATCAGAGCCGCACAGTTCTAAAGCTGAGAACATTGTAGCTGACATAAAATAAGGAACTGAGGTTATTAAGCTATTCAAGTATCTAGTCTTCCTAAGATTTGTTGAATTAAATTCCATCAGTCAACAGCCATTACCCATTCTTAGTTACTCCCTTTAAGGAAGAAGTTACCTCTCACATATAACTGTATTTATTTTATCAAAATGTATCAGCATGCTGTAAAGTGCTCTGGGATTATGTTGGTACTAGTCTGACTCATTGCAAAATAATTGGTTAAAAAAAAAAAAAGCCATACAGGCCAAAATTTTACCTACTGATATCAAAACTATTGACATTTTTAAGAAGTCTAACAAAATCTGTGAAGGCTAGCCAGCATGACAGTCCTTTAAAAAAGGAAAAGTAAGATTTAATCAACATAAGGACAGTTGTATCAAAATTCTGAAAGACGATCGGAAAAAAAAAAAGATTTGCATCAAACAGCAAGCAGAAACAGCACAGTAACCTGCTCTTAGCTTATATAACATAAGTAACACATATCCACACATTCACGTTTGCATTGCAACATATCTTTTGGAAAACCTTCCATTTCAACAACTTTATAACACCAGCATTGCTCATTAAAAAAACAGAGGCTTCACAGCAGAATTTGATTCATTAACAGATTATATTAAAAAGTTTTTCAGATACAACACTTACCTTGTATGTTATCCTCCTTTGATAGCGTCTGTTTCAGCACATTTCTGGTAAATTTGAAAGTAAAGACAGGAAAAACAAAATCACAAGAAATGCCACAAAAATTACTTATTATAGAGTTGCATAGTCTACTACACCTAATAAACTAAAACGTTGACATTTAAGTTGCTCCTCCTCAAATTCTGAAGTTTTGTGATGGTAAAGTATCTTATTGGGTTAAAAATTCCTAAGGTAAACTAATTTCAACACACTTCAATCCAATTCATTAGCACTTTTCACATTAAGTCTTTCTGGTTACCTCTAGGAAGGAGTACAGTGCTCATGGTGCATCCCCGCTTCTTTTAACTCCACTACAGTACAAAATACTTAAGTTAGAGCTCCTTCAAATCACACGTGCATAATCCCTTAGAGATGGAATGTCTTCACAGCTCAAAGTGTGTAAGTGCTAATTATGTCTCTTCACCATCACTTCATTTAGTATCAGAAATATATTTTGGGTATCAACAGATTCCAATATGAAGGAACTTTTGCCAAGAAAAAAGAGAGACTGTTCATGAATGCATTTTGGCTTTTTCTTATAACAACTCAAATGTAGTTGTTCAATCAGCAACACTTCATTTATAAGTATATTGCAGAGAGTTAGTATGTACGTGTGTGTGTGTGTGTGTGTGTCTATATATACATACGCACACAACAAACATATAATTATGCCATTGGAAATGCACTGTGTACTAAACTTAGACAAGTTTCAAAAATTTTTAAAGTTAGCATTTAATAAATGACACTTCATACAATATTAGAAAGGTTTTCTAGTTTTGGCTTTGATCCCATAATCATCTGTCTAAAAGGTCCCACATATAAGCCAAGCACACAAAGTTGTTGTTTTTCTGAGGAAGAGCCTTGATAGCTAAGGTTTTTCTTCTTTTAAATGTTTGCATGCCTAAAGGCTGAAATGGATGTTATGGTTTCTATAGATAACAGTGAAAGAGATTAAAAATTAGAATATTAAAGAAAAAATACATACAAAAGAACGAGGTTACAAAAGGCAAACACTGAAAAGAATTAAAGAAAGAAAGGGTCTACAATAAAAGGCATTTCTGCCCTACCTCCCAATAATTATTTATTCAGTAATCTAATTATTGGCTTAAAAAACACCAAGGATAGTTCCTATCCAACATCATATTAATCCGTAATAATTTCATCAATTATATGTTGATTTCTAGGCTGACAAGCAAGGGCTCCAATTTATCAACTATTTTAAGCACATAAGCATTGAATTTGGCTGAGTACTCGTGTACTAACCTCTAAAGGTTTTTTAATTAACTCATTCAATAGAATTCCACAAATTAAAATTATTAAATATTAATGTGATTTTCTTGTTACTGTACGACTGCTCCTAAAAGTTCACATACATCATTAAGCCCCGTTTCCTACACTTCTCCAAACACAGCTCAATTGTTGAAAGATGCTGTACACTTCCAATAAGGTACTAAGGATTCTCAACTTCCGTATGTTTTTCTTTCATTAATAACTGCTGTGATTAGCACTGACACAGTCAAATTTTAAACCTAAGTTATACCACAAAATAATTAGCCCAAACTAATTATATAAGAGAGAAAACTTCAGAGAGGACCTGGTTTAAATGTCAAACATTATGGAAATAACTTCATGAAATGCCAGCTATACCTTTGCTGAGCTCTCTAAAACACCAATTAATTCCAAACCTGGGCATTTTTCCATCATAAAGGCAAAGATATAGTGTCGGGAAGAACTGCAGTCACCTTCACATAAACATGAACTTAAGAACATTCTGTATTCACAGCAAGTTTTTTGTTGTTTTTTAAGGGTGACTAATGTTAGCCTAAGTTTTTTAGGCATATGTATATGTCTTAGACATATTGACAGTAAAGTTATGACAGTCTAGTGTACTGCCTGTAGAATATAAACGAAAAGATTATTTTGATATTTCCTTGATTAAACAAATTATTAATTTTAAATCTGTATTTTTCTGTCAGCTATGTTCCCTGCTGCAGTCAGTCACTGAAGTCATAGCAGCACGCAGTCACAACTGCAGTGATACAGCCCACAGACGCTGTTTTCTGTGCTGCATACGGCGAGATCTCATAGAGGCCAATTAAAAAAAAAAGTCATATTTGCTGTTATGCCGCTTACATATTTAGTTTATTAGCACACAGGGAACATATGGTAGCACAGCACTTTGCACTGCTCCTTCCGTTCTGGAGGACGTCACTCTTCCACAAATGTTAACTGATGTTATGCATTTAAGATCAAAATCTGTTAGCACAGATGTGTAAGACGCACTTTGCGTTTTATGTGCAACACTGCTTCAACCAAGCGCCAGCTTCCCTAAAACGTGTGTACGCCCCGAGCAGCGAACCAAGTCTGTTAACACCCCCCTGAAACAAGAGCGACTAGTCTTTCCACGGGGGAGTGCACTTACGCTGTAGCTACACGACTCGGGCGACCAACAAGGCCAAAGCTCTCGGGCTGGGGGCTCTGGCCAAGGAAAAGCTCCCCTTCCCCTCCACGCGTTTCTAAGGCCGGGCCCCGCGCTCGGGGCTCCCTCTGCCCGCGCTGGCTTCCGCGCGG